CATATCAAGCTCCAATTTATAATATTTATACAAAAATATTTGGTAATTTATTCAAAAATATTTGGTAACAAAAATATTTGGTATTGTAAATGAAAAGATGACTAAATGCCACCCTCCCTTGTATTCTCATTGTTGATCAAGTGAGGAATGAATGTAATTCAGTTAACTAGGTGTACAGACATGGAACTAGACAGAAATAAGATTTCTGAAGTCTTATAACCTGGTTCTAGTATACTTTGGGATGAAGATATTATTGTGTGTTCAAAATTCACCCTACCTGAGTGAGCGCAGTGACTCTGTTTTCACTAGGAAAGAGAGGTGGGTCATCTCCAACTTGGAAGTCGAAGTACACTGTTTTGTGTGTGAAAGTTGAAAACTCATTGCTGAAACAAAATTTGTATGTTCCATTTCTGGATGCAGTAAAAGTAAAACTATCATACTGTTTCTTCATTTCTTTATATAGGACAATACCATCTGGATCTTCTAAGCGGCAATCAACATCATAGTGTCCTCCAGTAATCACCTGTGGAATAAAGAAAACTGGTATTTGGAACAATAGTCTCTGATGCTATTATTCTTGTCAGTTAAAGAAGCATCTTTAAAAAGCAAATATACTAAACATAGCAGATTGTTAAAAATTTCAGGAAGGGAAATCAATATATTACAATCACAACTAAGTCAAAGGCAACCTAGAAACATTTTGTTGCATTTCAGATGTTCTTGTACTTGCAGGAACTGCTTGGCCAAAATTATAATTGATGGTCCAAATTATAATTGAAAAATAGCCAAATAAGTTACCAAGTAACATGAACAGGCAGGACCTAAGAATAACCTTCCACTCAAATTGTGAAACGGTTATTAAAACCATTAAGGTCACAGTTTTGAACTTCTTTCTACTATAGATAAAATTCTGTCATGTAATATCCGAAACTAGATGTGCATTTATTAAAGACTGACATAGGCTTTCCATTTTGGTGGAAGGAAAGAGAAGTAGATGACCAGCAGCAAGGTATATAGATTCCATTACAGCAGCAGTGGGTACACTGTTGGAAGACATGAAGGGCCAAACTGGGGACAGATGATCCTGAAAAAGGTCTATCCATGCAGTCACTAAGAGTCAACACTGATTTGTCAGCACATAATCAATGAAAAATTAAATATAGAAGAAAAGGGGAAGATTAAAACATGCAACACTTCTGAAAAAGTATGTATGATTCATCTTCATTTTCTAAATTCAGGAAGGCCATTCATCTTGTACTTGCAGAAGCACGATTAATTCCACATGTAGGTAAAACCAGAAGTTTGTACTAAAAGATAATTTTTCATGAATAGAAGGTCCCTTTCCATTTATGGAAAGCTTTTGGTCTAGTAAAGAGATATTGGTATGAAGGAACAGGGCAACTTTTGTTATTTTTCCTAGCAATCATTAACATTCTTTAAAAATATGGTATGAACAGTCATGGGACCTATAAAATAGATTTTATTTATTTAGTAAACTTGTCCCCACCCCTCTCCCCACAATGGGGGACTCTGGGTGGCTTACATCAAATTAAAATCATAAATACATGAATAAAAGTTATTTAAAAAATTGCTTTGAAGACACCAGCAGCTGGAGAGAAAACAAACAAAATTCATCTCCACATCAACATATGAGAATGTCTTCTGAATACAACTCCACAAAGTAGATGGTCCTTATGATAG